GCCAGTGGTTGCTAGGTAGGTTCTTTAAAGATTTTAAAGGGTTGAAAAAGGGGATGTTCTACTTTGTTCATCATCTAGGTTCAGCAGCACATAGACCACTCACTCTGTAGCACTGAAATGGTGGCCTGGGCTCGGATCCAGGTGATGGCTGGGTTTTGTCGGAGGTCATTGCGCCTCGGGTCGTTGCTTGCCCGGCACTCATAGGTCCCAGAGTCCTCCAGTGTAAGGCGCGTGATGCCGAGCACACTGACCACATTGGTGCCGGAGGCCATGTTGATGGATACCCGACGCTTGCGGGCTCCGTCCCACAGCTGCTTGAAGGATTCGGCTCGGTTGACCTCAGCGTACCACCACTGGATCTCTGGAATGGGGTTACCGACCACCTCGCAGTACAGCTCAAAGGTGTCCCCTGTAAGCTTAGTCTCAGACAGTGGCGACTTCACAAACCCAGCTGGAGAGGAGAAGTGTATCGAGATGGCAGGGAAGGAAAGGGTAGAAGAAGGTTAGAGCAGTAGGAAGGCATGGAAAGGCCAAGGAATAGAAAAGGAAATTAAATAGGGTTAAAGAACATACAGAGAAGAGAAGATGATTAAGGGCAAATCATAAAAAAGCAAGCCCTTAAATCATTATTAGGAGTCAAAATAATAATGGCTATGTCTCATCTGTTCATTGTAAAGTTTCCCTGTCTTACTAAAAGCTAACTCTCAAACAAACTCCATCAAATAGACCATAATCTATAGAATATACTGAAGGTATCTGGTGTATTTTCCTTTACTTCTTACACTTTCCTCTGTTCCCTGTAACCTTATGAAAATTAGTTCAACAACTCCAGTTTGACAACACTTGAAGTACAAAGTACAAACACTAGATTTAATTGAGTTGTTGACCTGATTTGTTCAAAAGTAATCATGTTAACATTATTAAAGTTTAAAGCTGTAAAATAAATCTAAACAAAAGTATAGCTTTGATAGTTGCACATGTATGTCTCAAACGTTAAGTCTTGTTTATTACCTTGAACACTTTTTTTGCCACTTTTATAGATTCAACAGTTTGGATACAGTAGTTCATGTTGTCTGCATTGTACAGTCCCAGATTCATTTACACATGGATCCTATAATCATCGCTCCAGGATCGCTCATTACTGGAGTCTATCCCAGTATGCACTGGGTGAGAGGTGAGGTTGCAGTGTGGGTATGCTGGCAGCATGTCACAGTGTAAATATGTACAGACGGACAAACGCATTCACACCTACTTTCACACCTAGAGGCAATTTTGAGTAGCTGTTTCACATAACATCCATGTCATTGGACTGTGGAATGAAACTCAGATTACTTAAAAAAAAAAAAAACTGCCTGAAGACATAATTTTATATTTATGACCTTGCTGCCTCATTGTTTACCTACTATCTATCTGTAGTTATACTCTAACATGGTATGTAACCATCTTCCTTATGTTGCATTCTTTAGTAGTGTATGTTTCTATTAAACACATTGATTTAAACAAATCTTTATCAACAGATGAGATAGTTTTCCAAAGCTTGTGTATGTTTAAAAATCCAGATTTTACACAAATACATATATAAATGTATGTTTTATCAATATCAGCTTGTGCTGCTGAAGGGAAACAATTAGATAGACTTTAGGAGTGGGTTTTGAAAGCGCACGTATGGCCTCAATGGTGCACAACACTTTACCCAGCTTCCACAGAAACGTTAAACGGTTGGTTTTCTGATTTTGTTTCGCAAAATTCCCTTTTGACCACAATGGGGAACCTCTAAAAGCACCCAACACAGCACAGGTCACTAGTATTGAATCTACATGTCTTTGTTCCCCAGTGTTCTATGTAACTGCTAAACTCCTCTGGTTTGACTTAAGAAACAACAAATTGTGGAACAATGTGTTTATTAATAAAATCCATTACCTCTCACAGGATCCATAAGCAATCATTACCACTATAACAGCAACCTTCCTGAGCCTGTGCTTGATTCATGACCCTTTTTCACATCAGTAGTTGGCCCAACAATGTCCTGCCAACCCTAATGAACCTCATCAGATGACAAAGCACCTGCACCCAGACGCTCTTCACTACCAGCTCTGCAGCCTCTCTGCTCTAACCACATGTGCTTAAGTAAATCAGAAAATTATACCTACCTCTGCCCTGAATTGCTGCAGAGGAAATTGGTGCAAAGGGCCTGTGGTCTCTAGAGTGGTGTGCTTGATTGTGCATTGTGTCTAAATACAACAGCTTTTAGGTACTCTTTAAGATTTGTCTGCTCTACTCTCAGTTCCGTCTCATAAATGCTCTAATACAATGGCTAGCACGCTCATGGCAAAGGACGAGAGCCACAGTCATTGGCTTACCACCATAATAAAGACAGTAATGCTCAAACCTTTTTTTAATTCAAAGTGTTTTATTTAAAGTTTAAGAACCCTGATAAATTAAATAAAGTGTTTTCTAAACGTGCACAGTGTGGTGTCTGCAATGCTTGAGTTCATATAGGTTGCAAAAAAATCCCGGTAAACTTATTTGCCAACATAAACTTAATATAAACTTGCAGTCATAAGTTTACATACATATTTCATGTGCATGAATGTCAAAATGTTTTGGGGCTTTTATTGATTTATTTAAACCATTCTTTTTTTTTTTTTCTGGGAGAAATGATTATTCAACACACAAGATTTTAAGATTTAGGTGTACAACTTTGAATATGTCGTGAACTTTCTCTGAACCACAGAAGGTCAAGTTTACATCCATCCATCCATAATCGTTGTGGGGGTCACTGGTGCCCATATGCAGCAGTCACATTGGCGAGAGGCGGGGACACCCACGACAGGTCTCCAGTTCATCACAGGACCACATAGGGACAATCGAGACAACCATTCATTCTCTCACTCTCACCTAGGGACAATTTTAGAGTTACCAATCAGACTAACATGCATGTTTTTGGTCTGTGGGAGGAAACTGGAGTATCTGGAAAACACACACACACACATGCAAACTCCACACAATAAACACAAAGTTTGTTTTCTCAGTCATCCAGGTATGATTCAACCTTTTTTGTTGTTATATACCTGGATGACTGAGAAAACAAACTTTGTGTTTTTGAAACCATTAGTGAAAAGGCCAGACTTCAGGGGTATCTGAGGCAGGCTTGAAACACAAGAGTCAGGGTGGCTTCTGGGTAATACCAGATGGCTAGGCCTCAGACTGACGAAGCCTCTTGGATGAGGGGCGAAACGTTTCTTTTTAACAAAAAAACGAAGTCCAGATGACATGATTCAACCTTTTTTGTTGTTCCACACAATAAAGTTCCTCAGCCTGGATTTGATATGGAAACCTTCTCGCTGAGAGGTGACAGATATACCAACTGTGCCATCGTACCACCCCTCAAGTTTACATACAGTACAAGCTCAAACATATACAGCAAAAATATGGATTCAGCTGAATCTCCTTTTAAGGGGTGATGAAGGTTCTCAATGTATTTTTAACCTGACATGGTTGAAGCTTATTAACTCAGTTTGTGGTAATGATTGTTTGCAGCTTGTAGATTCTCTTTGTCAGAATTAAAAGGATTTGTTTGACAGCACTTATTGGACTAACAACCAGTACTTATCTGAAACTCTTGGCTGAAAGGAAACAGGTTAGGGTGTTCAGGAAAAATCCAAAAACTATCGAGACTCAAGCCTGAAATGATCTGGAAACTGCTAGAACACCAGTGCCTAGGTCCTCAGTGAAGCCAGTTTTACATTGTCGTAAACTGAGTGCCAACCAAGAAAAAATAAATAAAACCACCCTGCCTCAAAAACAACATTTTCAAGCTTGACTGAAATTTGCAGCTGTCCATACAGACACACCAAATGCCTTCTAGAGGCAATTTTATTAGTTGGACAATGCAAAAATTGAGCTATTTGGCCACAATGACAAGCATGTTTGGATGAGGCATGATGAATGGATCAGCTGTCAAGCATGGTGGTGATAGTATCATACTGTGGGGCTAATTTGTGTTCAGTGATACTGATGTACTGCACAAAGTGAATGGAATATTAAAGAAGGAGGACAACTTCCTAATTCTTCAACTTCACCTGCAGTCAGCATCTGGACAGCTGAACATCCCTTAAATTTACACTTATATTGTTTTTGTTCTTGTTGTTTTGAATGAATAAAGCAGCCTAACACCAAGTTTCTAATATGACCTTTCTAAAATCCTTTACTCAGTCCTATAGAAAATGTGTGGACTGAGAGCCAGGTTTGTGCCAGAAAACCAACCAACAGCAACCACAACCAATCATGCCATTGTGACAACCCAAATAAACATTTGTTTCAGGTAAAACTTGCTAATAAATGTGACAAAATATTAGTAGGAGGTGTATGTATAAATGTGAGTATGCTGTATGTGTATGCATATCTTTGATCCTGTATTGATTAGAGATACTGTAATTAAGAACAATTTCAAGCCTGTGCATCTAATTCTTGTTTTTAAAAATCATAATCATTCCACTATGGAAACATAGCAGTTCAAATAAATATTTAGAAGCTCAAAATACAAAAGTCTTGCCCATCATGGGTGTATGCAAACTTCTGGTTGTAACTGTGGGCATTAGCTAGTGGAAAGATAATCATAATCCCACTGCCTAATGGAAAATTAAAATGGTGACATGTCTTTTGTAGATGCTGCCAAGTTGTCACTGATACAATCCTTCAGCTCTGACAAAGGCTGGCATCCTTGTGTGACAAATGTTTTTGATAAGCATTGTAACTTTGTAAAAGCTTTCAGTCTTTACGGCAGGCATATTTTGCTTCTCAATATTGTCTCATGCCCCTGAGATTCTCACTCAAATTTATAAAACTGTCCAAAGTGGGGTTTTATCTCGGTATTTCACCACAACACTCAACACAAAAATGTGACTCATAGCCACATTTAAGTAAATTTATGATAGGAAAGAAAACTATGACGATAAATTGGGAAAAACAATAACTGAGCAGTGTTCCTTTTAGGGGATGCATCTTGGACACTTAAGACTATGTTTCTATGTGGGATGCCTGAAGATACAGCTAGTAATTAGCATTTGCTTCTTTTCACTTGAAACATCTGGGCCGTGCAAGCCCACCACATAGTCCCAGAAGGCAAATTCAAGCTTACCCACCTACACAGTTAAAGCAATACTTTAGAAAGATGAGAACTTACAACAGTACTGTTTACTGTTACTACTGCAGACATTTGGTGGTGTGACACTTAGCAATTATAACAAATGTCGTCCATACATACGAGCTAATTATCACAGTGTAGCAGTTATTTGGAAGAGGTCAGGAATGTCCTCTAAGATGACGGTAAATTAGATCAGAGAAGTGAACAGATGAATTAATTCAAATTCAGGCTCAGGAAGACTCTGGAGAAATCCACACTGAGCAAACTGCACACAGCACCAGGCTCACAAGCAGACCAATTTCTGTGTTGTTTAAACAGGGAGCTTACACAGACAGCGAAAACAAAGCACAAAGCAGCCAGCCACTACTCATCCATTTCAAAGTGCTTGTGGAAATGAGAAGTGACAGAAAAACAGTGCAGTGGACCATTTGGACAGATCTTAGTGACAGAAGAAAACTGAGCTCCTCCTGTCTTGGAGAGGGATACTGTCAACTAACACAAACAAGTTTGGTCTGTTTGCAAAAAAACAAACAAAAAAAAGCTGATTTCTGGGAAAGGATCAGTTAAGGCTCTTAACAAGTTGGAAAAAATGCAAATAAGGTGACTTATTCAGGCATAATCACGATTGTATGATAAACTGTTTTCCAGTTGGTTGCAGGTTGTCAGATAATTTTTGGTCCAAGGTGTTTTTATTACTATGACTGATGACAAGAAGCCCAAGACATAATCAAAACCATCTCCCAAGACACTATCTTATCTCTGTCCGTGAACCGTATTTGGATTAAGAGAGAAAGCTGGGTGAGAAGGCTGCAACTGCAGCCAAGGACACCTCCTGAGCTCTGTGAACTTGACTGAACTGATAAGGGTATAAAAGTGAGCGGAGAATGCAGCTGGCAGGTGACTAATCTTCATGCGTGTACATTTACATATATTTATATAAACTGTCCTGAAAATCTGGCCTTATTTATTTATTAACTTTTATTTAACCAGGCAAATCCCACGGATCACAGATCTCTTTTGCAAGGGAGGCTTGGGCCTGAAGGCAGCCTAAAATGCATGTTTTTGGTCTTGCAAGTAATTGCTGGTAAAAAATCTCCTGCCGTTGAGTGTGGTTCTTTTTGGATAAGCAAGAATATTTTTCTCCAATAAGGGTGACGGATAAACTCAAGAAGAAATTGTTCACTGAGTTAAGAAACTATATTGCAAAGCTTGAATAAATCTAAAATATAAAGTGATTGAATTCATTTTACATTACAAATACCTATTGTCTAAATCTGCAGGCTTGTCTAAAAAGCTATTTTTCTTACAGTGAGCAGTGCTGACAAAGGCTAAGCAAAACGTCGGATAGATTTCTAGTTTTGTTGTTGAGGTACAGTTCATGCAGAGATACTTGGTTAAAAAAAACTATTGTAAAACTGATAACATAAACAATCATTCTTAAAGCTCAAACATTAAATTTAAATTGATTTGTCATCAGGGAAAGTTCAGTGTGTGTCTAAGTAAATCACAAACTAACAGGCCTTCAAAAGAAAAGCATTTCATACATTATCGTGGCTCAGAAACTTTGCTAAGTCTGCAGAAACTTATATTATCAATCTATAGACTGTTTACAGCAGCCTGCTCATTATAAATATAGTTCTTAAATCAGTTTTATTTTTCCCATCTTGTTTATTTTTAGACTTTTATTATTAGCCGAGCAGAGCCATTTATTTTTGCCTAGTTATTGCCATTTTCTCTACAATTGCAACAATGGAACAATAAAAATGAAATGACCATATAAGTCTTTTTTTTCTTCTTCCTTTTTGGAAACATACAAAAAGCACTATGTACATCACAAATGTCCTGATGCCTGCTCAATAATCAAGGTTAGTTAAATCTAACAAGGTTGAGTCAGATCCTCTGGGTAGGTTCTTCTTTGTTTGACTTAAGATGCTCATCTCACTACCATCTACCATGTTACCAATGGTATCACAAAATAGCGTGTACTTTTCGGTGATAACCTCTGTCTAAAGCCATGTGAAAGTCACAGTTGTGATGGACTAAATATTCTCCGTGTGTAAGTAGAGTGGAGAGCTCCCCT